ATAAAGAACCACAACCTGGGTGGCCTAAAACAACAGAAATTTATACTCTCACAGTTACGGAGGATGTAAGTAAAAGAAATCAAGGTGTTATCTGGGCCACACCCCTTCTGAAGGCTCCAGGGGAGGATCTTCCCTTGCCTCTTGCAGCTTCTGATGACCCCGGTGTTCCCTGGTTTGCGGCAGCGTCTCTCCAGTCTCTGGCTCCATCTCCACAGGGTCTTCTCTGTGCAGCTGCGTGTCTTTCTGTGTCCTCTCCTCCTCTTGTAAGGACACTCCCATTGGATTTAGGGCCCGCCCTAATCCAGTACGACCTCACCTTAATTACACCTATAAAGAGCCTATTTCCAAACAAGGTTCCGTTCTGAGGTTCTGGGTGGACATGCACTCGGGGGAGAGGGACGCTTATTCAATCTGTGATTGTATTCAGCTACCAACATTTAACATAGAAATTGCTGTTGTTGCTATAGGCCTTATTTTCCCTCTTGCTTGAAAATAGAAGATAAAGTTTGCTTCTAATCATGTTGCTAATTTCTGGTTAGAAATAAAACGAGGTTGATAGTCATAAATGTATTTTGAGGCTTGACTATCTGAGAAGGAGTAAGTCTATTAGAGAAGACAACCTTTGGCATGTCCAGGCAACTATCCATTTGGTCCCCAGTGGGGGTCCCCGCTAATCCTGGGGATGACAGACCCACAGCTGAGCCTTCCATGTAGGCTGGGGTTTGCTCTGCTCCCAGAGGAGTGCACAGCCTCAGCCAATGGGCTGTGAAGGAACGGTGCCACGGGATGGAGCTGTGTCCACGGAGTTTAAGTGGCTCCTGGTGGGTGGACATTCTGAGAAGAGGGGATACTGCATGGCTATCTGTAGAGATGAGGTGACTGGCTACGTGGTCCAAATTACAGAGTTTCCAGGAGGCCCTCATGCTCTCTCCAAAACCTGAATTTTTCCCCAGTTAGCATTCCTATTTAATAGCTCTTCCCTGGGAGAGCTAACAGCGATGATCACATCTTTAGAGGTGCATCTGAAAAAGGGCTCTGGGAGTTGTTTGTTTTCACATCTTTATTGGGGTATAATTGCTTTACAATGGTGTGTTAGTTTCTGCTTTATAACAAAGTGAATCAGTTATACATATACATATGTCCCCATATCTCTTCCCTCTTGCGTCTCCCTCCCTCCCACCCTCCCTATCCCACCCCTCCAGGCGGTCACAAAGCACCGAGCTGATCTCCCTGTGCTACGCGGCTGCTTCCCGCTAGCTATCTACCTTACGTTTGGTAGTGTATATATGTCCATGCCTCTCTCTTGCTTTGTCACAGCTCACCCTTCCCCCTCCCCATATCCTCAAGTCCGTTCTCTAGTAGGTCTGTGTCTTTATTCCTGTCTTACCCCTAGGTTCCTCATGACATATTTTTCCCTTAAATTCCATATATATGTGTTAGCATACGGTATTTGTCTTTCTCTTTCTGACTTACTTCACTCTGTATGACAGACTCTAGGTCCATCCACCTCATTACAGATAGCTCAATTTAGTTTCTTTTTATGGCTGAGTAATATTCCATTGTATATATGTGCCACATCTTCTTTATCCGTTCATCCGATGATGGACACTTAGGTTGCTTCCATCTCTGGGCTATTGTAAATAGAGCTGCAATGAACATTTTGGTACATGACTCTTTTTGAATTATGGTTTTCTCAGGGTATATGCCCAGTAGTGGGATTGCTGGGTCCTATGGTAGTTCTATTTGTAGTTTTTTAAGGAACCTTCTGGGAGTTTTTTGGTACAAGATCAGAGAAGGGCAGAAAGGAGTGCCTCCTGTCTCTGCTTGGCTGGTGGGTGACAGTGACCATCAATGCGTCACTACAGAGCAAAAGAGCATCAGCAGGAGGCACCGCTGGAACCCTCCTTTGTCCTCCTGGGCTTCGTGAAGCGGCAGCACGGGGCAATTCGATTTACAGATGCAACCCTATATCCTTCTCTCTGAATCAAAAGCAAGCGAAAGTGGTCTATGTCGGTCCCACGCCGGTCCTGGCGTGAGCGCCTCACTTGGCTGAGCGTGACATAAGTGTTTTTATTTTCACACAACTTGGCCCCAACAAGGCAAACCTTCCTCCAGGGCCCATCTGAAGGTTGATCGCTTTGAAGGATTGTGAAAAACTGGGCTTTGTTAAATGTACTAAGAGAGAGATTTTTCAAAGGTAATTTAATTATATGCAGTCTTCACCTGAGATGCTACTCCATTCCAGATAGTGTGATTACACCGTATAATGATTTCTGGTTAATAACTAGATATTTTCTAACCAGAGACAGTCAGGTGAGTCTTGAATGCATGGGGTAAGAACTCGGTCACTTAGTACTTAGTTCTTCTCTAAAAGAGGCAAAAATGAGGAAAAAAAGAGGTGATTCATCATTGTGTAAAGATTAGAAAACACAGCAAAAAGATAAGAAAATAAATGCTGGTGTTTTCATCCCCCACCCAGAATAATGACAGTTAATATTTTGAGGTGTTTCCTTTTTTTTAAATAAATTTATTTAGTTTTGGCTGCGTTGGGTCTTCATTGCTGCGCACAGGCTAACTCTAGTTGCAGCGAGCGGGGGCTACCCTTTGTTGCGGTGTGTGGGCTTCTCATTGCGGTAGCTTCTCTTGTTGCACAGCACAGGCTCTAGGTGTGCGGGCTTCAGTAGTTGTGGCACACGGGCTCAGTAGTTGTGGCGCACAGGCTTAGTTGCTCCCCAGCATGTGGGAAGTTCCTGGACCAGGGCTTGAACCCGTGTCTCCTGCATTGGCAGGCGGATTCTTAACCACTGCGCCACCAGGGAAGCCCCTGATGTGTTTTCTTACAGTTTGCTTTCCTCGTGTGTGTGTGTCTGATTTTGTACAGACATATAATCAGGCTGTGTGTGGTATGTATGTTGGGACCTGTTTCACTGAGTCAGCAAAATATTGTGAACAGTTTTCCATTCACAAGCACAGAGCTATTCTAGCCAAAGAAGGCCCGCAAAGGACTTTCAGGAGCTCACGCTTTGGCAGGTGGCTGTGGCCGCGCTTTCTAGAGGCTGAGTTCTTTGGCTGTAGCCTCCCTGGAGGTGTGGTCATAGGAGCTGCTGTTCTGGGAGGTGAGACCCCGACTGGAGGGAGCACCCGGCTGCAGGCCTCAGAGGGAAGACTCTGTCCGGGAACGAGCTTGCCTTTGTGCAGATGAAGCTTTCCTGGATTCCTCTCAACCAGCACCACCCTCATCCTCCCCAAGTCAAGAGGATACTTGTCTTGACTTAGAAGGATGCCCACAAATACTTTCCAACTATGACATGCAGTTTTTAATTTTAATTTTTTTGGGTAAAGCCACTAATTGAATCAAATGTAAACTCATCCTGCTAAACAGATATTCAGAGAATATTTAGGGATCTTCTGTGTAAACAGTTTGAAATAATGTCAGTGGAAACTCACGAGCTTCCTTGGACTTTATCTTGAACATTGGCAAAGCTGAAGGGTACATACCCTTGCCTTTCAATTCCTGAATATTGCCCCAGAGGTTGTGTATGAGCCACGGTGCTTAACCCAACTCTCCAAAAATAAGGGGCTCATGATTTTCTTTAAATTGGCACTTATGCAGTGGAATCTCTCAGGCATTAGTGCTTACTTGATTGCATTCAGACACCACTTTGGCAAGGGAATGACTGCACTAAATTAGCATCAAGCACAATGAATGGTAATTGCAAGACTGTCATTTCTACAAGTGCAAAATTAATGTGTTCTGCAAACCCATTGCACTGTGTGCCACGGGAAAATCATGGAGCCGTGCTGTCCCAAGCGGAAGAACGCACTGCAACAGCGGCGGCAACGTGCTGCGGGTTATTCAGCAAAGGTGTTCCTCTCCACCTTTGTTGTTCTCTCATGCTCATTCTTCGAGCCCGGCCTGACCTAATTCCTATGCTCATGTTACAGCACCGCCAGACAGTAGCCTGGATGCACAGAGAATGTTATGGAACAATTCCTCCTTCTGTGTGGCACCTTGTGTGAACAATGCCAGCCTAAACAACCCTCCAAGTACTCATGAGAGTATGAATAGGCTACTTATGTAAAGCTTCTTATAAAGAGATGCACCAGCCATTTACAGAGAACTTTACCCAAATGTTATACATTCATTAGAAAGAGAAGAGTGATTTACGCGCATTTCAATTGTAGCTTAAGAAGACTGCCGGCCCTGCCTCTCCCCATCTCTCCCGTTTACAGGTGGGACAGGAAGCCACAGGCCAGTCGAATGAATTTCTTCCGGTCATGCAAGATCACAGGGTCTACCCCGAATGACAACAAGCATAGGCACCAGGCTCTTGGAGCCAGCTGACTGGCTCTGCAGAATTTATTAGGGATTAATCATTCGAGACTGAAATAATGCAGTAATAACAGACCTATTAGATGTGGTATCTCAGTACTCCTGCAGTTTAGTGGAGGCTGAGAACCTCCCACAGAGGCGTCCTATAGAAGAGGGATACCAAAGATAACGACAATAACTGGCCAGAGGGCTTTCTCGTGAGTCCAGCTTGAATCCAACCTCTTAGCAGCTGGGGGAGGGGGTGGGCATTAAGACCACTGGGCGGCACAGGTAGATTCACTGCAGTGATCTACAGGTCCAAGATAATGTGCTGACCCTCTGACTCCCCTGAGTGGGAGGGTCAGGCCCGAGTCCTCTTTCAGTGGCCGCTTACTTTGTCACTCACCATTAAGGCATGATACCGTTATTTGACTTGTAATGTTCCAGCCAGTGAAAAGTTTGCTGGAATTTGGGGGAAACTCTGCACCACACTCAAAGATTCTCTCATCTTAATGAACAACAAAGATTAGGGAGTGGTTTAGGAGACTTCCTACCTCAGGTGGGAGAAGAATTCCAAATACCTTACCCTCAGAATGAAGTATGCCTGGGTACAGCTGAAAAACCATTCAATAGATGATTTGGACTTCAAAGATGTCTAAAAATGGCTTTGGAAACTGGCTTGACTTACCTTTGTTGCAAAATGTTCCATCATAGGCTGTGTTGGAGCAATCGCAGGAATACCCATGGTATTTCTCTATGCATTTGCCTCCATTCTCACAGTTTGCCCCGTAGCTGGTGCAGTGGCCCGAGCACCCGGATTTGAACCCGGATGTGACCTTTGCTCTTTCTTCCAGGTCCAGTGTCACCCCATTCATCCTCAGGGAGCGGATGCAGCCCAGAAAGCCCTGCTGGCCCCCGGCACCACCTGGGAAGACAGAAGGCATGGAGCTCAGATAGAATAACCTCTGCTGTGGCTTCTGTTTCATTCATCATTCCTCGGACCACTGTGGTGGGAGATGAGACTGCCAAGTGCAGGGGGCATGCTCACTGTCAAGTTGGTCCTGCCTAATAGAAGAGCTTGCAGCTTTCTCCCCTTAGGCTATAATGCTGATTAAAAGAGACTGTCTTCTGCGAAGCAATACATTTGCTACAGTACTAAAATGTTTGGAGACACACACAGATTACGTAAGCTGCTTTGGAAGTTTAATCTGGTTTCCTATAGAAAAGAAGTGTACAGAACTCTCTAAGTTCTTTGGTTTTTAATCTCATGGCATTCAGTTCCATAGCATTATCTATTGGAAGAGATATAAAAAGGCAGAGGGACATGAATATATTAGCATAGTTAACAAGTCAATTAGCCAGACGAAGTAGATCCATTTGGAATGTAATTGTAAGTCCTGGTTCTTGTCTCAAGAAATGCTTTGCTTTGAAATTCATGTTAAGGGTTCCCAGGGCTTCTTGTCTGGGGTGGTTGGAAATTGGAATTGAGAATTTTACACGTAAGTCAGCTACACCACATTTATTACCAGGTCAGTTCAGATTTTATTGCTTTTGTCTAAATGCCACTGCAAGACACATAACACACAAAACAAATTCACTGTAATTTTCTCAGTACGTTATGGAGTTAGAGGTTCATGAGCATGAAAATATTAAAATATTCCTAATAAATTTCATAGAATGGTTCATTGGAGAATTATATCACAGGTGGATTGTATCTATAATAACCTTAGCTATGATTTTTTTAAGCAGCTGGTACGAAAGGAGGAACTCAAGTTTATAAATATGCCTGTATTTTAGACTAACAGCTTTTCTAGAAATTAAATAAAATGATAGTAGTTAAAATTATTCAAAGAAATCTGATGGGGATTTAGAAAAAAGATATGGTTAATAAAGTGAAAGTTACTGTTTATTGAGGGCTATGTAGTAGGTACTCTACTAAGCATCTTACATATGATATTCACCTGATTCTCACAACAACCTGGCGAGGTAGGCATTGTTACCTTAACCCCATTGTACAGATAAGGAAACTGAGGCTTAGAGAAATTAAGTCGTGTACTCAAGGCCTCACAGCTCCGAAGTGCCAAAGCGGTGTCAGATCTGTCTTATTCTCGAGCCTGTGGTCTTAAACTCTGTTCTGTGTTGATCGTCTAATGCAGAAGAACTTCAGGGTCTGGGGCGCCACAGACGTGCACGTTTCTGACGTGAAGATCTGAATGTCTTTAAAAATGGCATGGTCAATAGGACTGGCAGACTCTGGGCGAGGCTGCACACTGGAGGTTGATTCTGATCACTTTCTCCAGTGTCTTGAGAAGAAGTGTGCCATCTAGCGACTCATCAGACAGGGCTGGTGGATCAAAGGCTTTAGCTGCAGAGACGGATTAGCCTTTGCTTATGCCTGTGAATCCTCAGCCGTGAAATAGCAAATGACTTGCACTATTATCTTTAAGAACCCAAGCCTTGCGGTTCTCTCACTGGGCAGTGCATAGATTTGAGTGATGATCCTCCAGGGATTGTTATTTTTTAATAAAATGTTTAAATAGAAGAGGATTAATTGAAGGGATCCCAATGCCCCTTTTGATTAATGGTATGGGAGAGTAGACGGCAAAAGAAATGATTAGAAACAACCACTTTGAAGGATTTCCCATTTTGCAATCTGCTCACCAGCACCGCTGCACCTCTGGGCCAAGGGGAATTTGGCCCTTTGCTATGATCTGGAAGAATTTCAATCCAGTAGTCACTCTTTGTCTGTCGAAATTTCAATTTGGCGTCTATCGTTTTAGCAGCTATGGCTTTTATTCTTGCAATAAGGCTTTCCAAAGGGCCTTTTCGTTCAATAAATGCCTAGCCATTTAAATTTTCATCACTAGTCAATTAAGACAATTATATCCTATCAAAATATGCTGACATTTTTAAATCGTTGTTTTTAGATGTGTGCCTCTCCTTTCCCCTGGTTGCAAATGTAATAGTTTTTCATTGTGGAAACCATAAACACACTGATAAGCAAAATGAAAAAGAGAATCTGTAATGCTACTCAGATAGAACGACTTTCACTTTTAGCAAATAGCCCTTTCTACTTTTATCTATGAACATACATATGTATAAAAAGTAAAAAAAAAAGCGGGGTATATGCATTGTTTTGAAATTTGTTTTTTTCACTTAATATATCATAAAACATTTTTCCCAGCAATACATATTCAACTAGAACATCTTGCTTAACATCCGCATAGCAGCCCACCCTGTGATGCACTGTAACTTACTTTGTCGTTCCACTACCATTGGACTTTTTAAAGTTTTTTAATTTTTTAATTTAATTTTACTTTTTTACTAAGTAAATTAAAAAAATTTTTTATTTAACATCTTTATTGCAGTATAATTGCTTTACAATGTTGTGTTAGTTTCTGCTGTATAACAAAGTGAATCAGCTATATGTATACATATATCCCCATAGCCCTTCCCTCTTGCGTCTCCCTCCCACCCTCCCTATCCCATACCACTGGACTTTGACGCTTATTCCAATTCCCATTTTATATGATACTATAATAAATATCCTTGTAAAAACCTTGACATACTTGTCCAGTTTTTCCTTAGAATTAATTCTTAGAAGTGTAATTGCTAGGTACAACAGCATAAACATTTTAAAGTCCTTTGCAATATAATTTCCTCTCAGAAGACTTTATCAATTTGTATCTCAGCAATAGGGTACAAGATTCCTGCCTTCTCCACACCAATTCTAATACTAGGCAGGACACTTTTGAATTTATAGGCTAGAGGGGGAAAAAAAAAGAGTTCATTCTTTTCATTTGCATTGCTTCGAATACTGTGGGTTGAATAATTTTTATGTTTTCCTCACTCTTAGTTTTTGTTTCTTCATGACCTTTGCTTTTTTGGGAGAAATAGAATATATATTTCTTACTGATTGGTAGCAATATTTGGGTCTTTAATTTTTTGTTATAAATTCAGCAACTAGATCCTTCCAGTTTGTGTTTGTTAACTTGTATGTAATGTTTATGTAGTCACATGCATCTACCTTATTTTTATGATTTCTGCCTTTGATATTAGGCTTATAAATACCTTCTCTAATCCAAAATAATATAATTATTTAACTATATTTTCTAGAACTTTTATGATTTTACCTCGCTTAACATTTCATTCTTTAATCTATCTGGAATGTATTTTAATTTGGAAATAATTGACATTTAAGGGTGTCAGCAATGGTTGAGAGTCTGAGGAGATTTTTTTAAAAAGACTCTTTAAGTAAATGTTAATATGACCAAAAAAATGGAGATTTAGAAAGCATCAATTGGCAGAGAAAGTACATCTAGGTTAGGTCATATTTTAATTACCTCATTTAGGTAAACATTTAGATATATGTATATATGCTTCATTATGTACCTACACAGGCTTCATTCAGGAAGGGGATTTAGGGGCAGGTTTTTCTGTCTCCCTGCCTCTCTGATTCTTTCTGGTCTTGTTCTTTCTGAGCTTCTACACCTGCCAGTCTTTCTTCCTGCCTTTGTGTTTGTATATCCTTCCCTATCAGGACTATTGACCGTTTTTGTTAGTTCTGTGGCTTTCATCAAATCGTTGCATCTTTCTCAGCATCAGTTTTTCTTACACATAAAAGGAGGCTGAACTAGAAGTCTCTGGTCCTTCCAGCTCTAAATTACTCTGGTCCATGATGTACAATCTCTCCCTCTGGGCTTATGTGTCCCCCTCTCTCCATTTCAGCAAATTACTGTCAATTTCTGCTAAATTTCTTCTTGCTTCCTTTTTCCTCTTTGCACTGCTGCCTGACCATTTTTTTCCTCCTCCTTCCCTTAACTGAACATAACGTATGACTATAGTCTAATTTATATTTGTTGCCTTCATTAAATAAACTTTTATACTCCTTCTTCTTAATTTACAAAGAAGGTAAGTGGAATGCCATTTGTCTCTATATAAAGGAAAACTAAATAACTTACACTCTTTTTTAAACATGGTCCTTGATTTATTAAATGGGTCAGTGAGCTGGAAAGTACTTTTACTGATCTAGTCAATATGAAGAAAAATCTTTGGTCCTGAAAATGGCCATTATATATTATGCAAAGGATGTTAATGTACTAGAACCAGTGATAATTATTTGAGTTCAAGTTATGTGCTCTATAGAAATCTTTCCTGGTGACAAATGTCATAAGTTTAAATTGTAGGTCTGCGAGCAAAAAGGCTACTTAACCTTTGTTAATTAGAAAATCAACACATTGTCACTGGAGAGAGTCCCCTTCCATGCAAGAGCCTCACACACATTAGTTAGACCTGTGATAATTACCCAAGGTGAGACGTGGGTTTAATTTGTAAATCATTTTTCATGTGAAATGCTATTCAAGTATTGCAATTAGAGATTAATTATGAAAATGTTGTAACTATCCATAATGAATAATACAACCATCAAAAGCACAGAAGATTGGGGCAAAATAATCAGGTATTAAATTAAACAAACAGGGCGGAAATAACGATCAGGAGGAATTCTAAAAAGCACTGTCCTCAAACTAGGAGCTTAACTGTTTTCTAAGGAGCTAATTTGGGCTCCAGGGCACCTGTGCCCAGAGAGACCAGCCATTCATTCGCCATAGAGAGGAATCGCACCAAAGCTCCCACACGAGGAATCTAATTTATCCATTCAATAAGTATTTATTTCACAGCAACTATAAGCTAGCCTTGTCTAGATGTTTAGAAGGCACTAGGAAGCAAAACACACAAAAGTCTTTGCGCTTGCAGAGCTTATCTTCTTGCCGAGGGAGAGGGAAATTTAACAATAAACTCATAAGTTAAGTATATCGCCTGTTAGAAGTCAGTCTGGGTTAAGTGGGAGTGGGGTGGGGGAGATTCCCATTTTATATAGAGCCCTTAAGACAGACCCCACTGAGAAACTGACAGAAAGAGTATCCG